CGGAGTCGGCGCCTATGCACAAGGCCCAGGGCTGGAGGCGCTGGAGCTGGGGCCACACCACCCGTCCGTCGGCCCGACTGGCACTGGGGATGCTGGGACCACGCTGCCCATCCAGCAATCCAGGGCTAGAGGCGCTACTGGGCTGGGGCTGGAGGCGCTCCAGCCTGACCACTTGCCCACCCAGCACTTGGGTTTGGGGGGCTCTGGCCACGCCACCCCCGTGCTGTGCTGGGGCTGAGGGAGCGCGGGAGAGCAGGTGGCCAAGCGGGGGTGTGTGCTCCAGACTCCAGCGGGGAAGAGGGGGCGGAAGGGGAGGGGTGGGGCCTTGGGCATAGGGGGAGGGGCTGGGGGCTAGCCTCCCCCAACAGTGTGTTCACCCACCGCCCGTGCCTGATTAGTAAGCAAGGCCTCTAACTTCGCTGAGATTCGGGGAATGGAACCCAGTTCTCAAACATGGCAGACTCATCCAGCCTTGCTGCATCTTAAAAGTTGTAAATGGCACAGTATTCTTTACACCTGTTAGCAGAAGAGGAGAGTCTACAACTCGTAGCTTCCTGGTTCACAATTCAGTGCACCTTTCACCAGGCCAAAAAGTATTGTGAGCCAAGTGCCACATCTGAGACTAGAACCAAAGTCGCTTGGTTTCTACAGCCACTGCCTAACCCAATAGGTCTCAGTGCTTGAAATGGGGAAAGGAAGTGACATTCCGATACTGCAGTATGATTGGGGCCCTTCGTTTTCGGTTTTCCCAGGAATTTATCGGTGTTTATTACGACAACAACAAAAACAGGTGAAAATTGGTGGGAAAAATATTAATAATTTTTCTGGGTACATAGTGGGATTTATTTGGGTGGATGGAAGGACTGGGGGGAAATGTATGCAGTAGATTAATACTCTGATGAATGGAATTCAGTGTGGTTTGCTGCAGAACTAAAACAAACTCAAAACACAACGCCATTTCTGAGTTTGAGAAAACAATAGACCTCTAATCCCCAAATAAAACTTCAGAGCTTGCGTGCGTGCCTATTTGCTTGTTGTGTGTAACTTCCAAACTAATACATAGCCTGACTTCAACAGGCAGCTTTGCATACACACACAGACTAACGTATTATCGTAATACATAGATCTCATGCAATGTGTTGTATTTTCCTAATACAAGAAGTTATTTTTTATATATTTGAATGATACAAGAGTAGGCTAAAAATTGGGGACAAAATGAATAATACTTTTTATAAAGGCTGGGATTTTTTCAGTAAAAATCTATTTAAACTGAAAACGAAAGAATTTAAGTATGATTTATGGATTATCTCTCCGATCCTCCATTATGAAAATGCTTTGTTGTTGAAACAGGGTCATGCTCTGTCTATGTCTATGAACCCCAGGGAACAGCATTTCCCGTGACGTTGGGGTAATGGGAGTTGTGCCGTATCTTGAACTCCAAACACCTGCAGCAGCAGCATCACGACAGAGCGGCTGCCGAAAAGGAAATGCTTTGTATGTCCAGTTACTAAGAAGAGCCAGAAGATTGGCATGGGAGTAAGAGGTGGTTTGGAGCCATCGTCAGGTGTATTCAATCACCCCGTGACCCTTACCTGTGGTACAATACTATCAGCCAGCTACAAGAGAGCCAACATGGCAAGACAGGAAGGGCTTTGCTGTTGAAGCCACATGAAAAGAAATGGAAAAATTGAGTGTTTAAAGGGAAAAATTACAGCTTGGGAAGGAGGTCAAGACTGCAGCACAGCCCTCGTGCCCAGTGGACGCTTGTATTCATCTAGGGGGCTGGACTGGTAATGCGTCACTCTTTGCAGTTAATGGGATGATATTAGCTCCGCCAAGCAGGGCTGTGCTGGCATTCAAATTGGTCCAATTTAGACACCGACAGGACTCCCGGCGGTGCCGCGTCTCAGCAAATGGGGCTTCCTTCGGCTTACTTACCGCATTTGTCACTCATTTCGCTCCTGACCACATCCTTCACTTCTTCTTCCTGTGTTTGCAGCAAGCAAAGCTTGGTTTTAGGATTGGTTTCTATGGTGAGTGACACCAGGACCTCCTCTTCGATTCTATGCCCCCCAGCGACCTGGGGCCACACACATCTGACTCTGCCCCCTTGGCCAGTGGATGTAAGTTACACCCACTTTATGCCTGCTGCCGGAGTGGTGTAAAAGGACCCTGGTGTCACCGAGAATCAGGTTCAGGGTGTGCAGCGTGTGGATAACTCATCTAAAGCAATTCTGAAATACATTTGATTAAGGCTGTTTTATAATGTAACTAAATCTCTCTTCAGTGGCAGGCGTTGTGCTGCACAGGTGAGAATTGACACAGACCTAAAGCCACATAAATGCCTGTTTCTTCCTCCAACACTATGTCATGATTGGAGGTGTTTAGTTTCTCAGGGTACGTCTACACTGCAGACAGGTGTGTTATTCCAGCACATGGCAGCATACCCAAGCATAGACGACTCGTGCCTCCCCATACTGGGGGAAGGGGCTGTGTCAGGGCGGGGACACGGGGGAAGGGGCAGAGCGAGGGCTCCGGGGAAGGGGTGAGGCGAGGGCGGGGGCTTGGGAGAAGGGGTGGTGCGGGGGGGGTGGAGCCTTGTTTTTGGCCCCAGTGGTTTCGCTTCCGCTTCCCCTACTTCGGACATGTCTGATCCAGAAGCCAAGCTGGGAATCTTAAGAGAACAGGTTCTCTGGTGAGATTTCTGATGCTTCCCGGTTCCAGGGGGATCAGATAGAATCATAGAACCATAGAAGATTAGGGTTGCAAGAGACCTCAGGCGGTATCTAGTCCAGGGATTCTCAACCTTTTTCTTTCTGAGGCCCCCCCCCAAAACATGCTATAAAAGCTCCATGGCCCACCTGTGCCACAACAACTGGTTTTCTACATATAAAAGCCAGGGCCGGCGTTAAGGGGTAGCAAGCAGGACAATTGCCCGGGACCCCACGCCACAGGGGGCCCCACAAAGCTAAGTTGCTCAGGCTTTGGCTTCAGCCCCCAGTGGCAGAGCTCAGGGCCCATGCAGTGGGCCTTCAGCTTTCTGCCCTGGGCCCCAGTGAGTCTAACACTGGCCCTGCTTGGTGGACCCCCTGAAACCTGTTTGAGGCCCCACCAGGGGACCCCGGACCCCTGGTTGGGAACCACTGATCTAGTCCAACCCCCTGCTCAAAGCAGGACCAACCCCAACTAAATCACCCAGCCAGGGCTTTGTCAAGCCAGGTCTTAAAAACCAATAAGGATGGAGATTCCACCACCTCCCTCGGTAACCCATTCCAGTGCTTCACCACCCTCCTAGTGAAATAGTTTTCCCTAATATCCAAGAGCACCTTCTCTGATTGTGTTCCAGCACCTCTGCCCCGTGCTGAAGCCACAGGCAGCCATGGCAACAGAGGTTATGTATTTACAGGCTTTTCTACAACGCTCGTCTCCACAGTATGCGAATGCCTAGTGGAAATGAACGTATTAAATCTAACTGCACCCATTTCATTTCCCTCATTTAACAGATGTGGAGACAGAGGCCCAGAGACATTAAGGGACCATCTCTGAAATCATACAGAGAATTGGTGGCAAAGACAGGGAGAGAACCTCATTCTCCTGCATCCCACCCCTGAGCCTTAACCACCAGACCCTCCTTCACCCAAGTCAAAATACAAAATAAACCAATCCTTTGGGAGCTTCACTCACTTTCCCAAGCGTTATTAAAGTGTTCCCACTGATCTTTATTATATAGGTAGCCATCCTGATTCACTTCACCTTCGTTCCTCACTCTAAGCCAGGCCTAACTCATTGCTCCATGCGTGTCGTCCTCCCCGGATCTGAATTATTCCGTTTCATGATATGGGAAGGGACACCTCCTGTCACCTGAACGTTGGGTTTCTCATCATCATCTTGCTGTATCTCCATCTGGAGTTAATAGCATTGTGGCTCCTGTTTTCTTTTGCCATCTCTCTTCTTGGGTAGCTCTGACCATCATCTTCATTTCATCAGCTCTAAGTCTCCCTTCCTGGGAGTTGTTTCTCTACTGACTTACCTTCTCCTGCATGGTTCCATGGCACACCTCTCATTCACACTTTTGCCCTATCTACCAATCTTAGGGTTTTTACACAGCCGCCCAGCTGTAGTACCTGGGCGCCTTCCATGTAAAAGCGATCAGCAATAGCAAAGTCCCTATTTGACCTTCATGGAGTCTCAGCCTCTTCCCCCTTTTATGAAATAAACAGTCTGCCTGCGGTAGGGGTATGCTGTTGGTGGATTGGTGGTGTGTTAGTTAGCTTTTGGGGTGGGGTGGGATAGGTGTCAGCATTGTGAATGTCATTCCTGTTACAGGGGACGGGCTTAGCCAACGCTTCTTTTTGCTGCTCGGGCACACTTCTGTCTCCCCATCGCTGTTGGACAGACTGGTCTCGTCTCACCCATGGAACTCCTACTGATGTCAACAAAAAGCAGAGGGTCCACGCTGAGGATGGGAAAGGAGAAGTTTGCCCCTAGTCCAGCATCCTCGGAGAGAAGAGCCGTGGTCTGCTTTGCTGTTACGTTGCTCTCTGCGTTCTCTCTGACTCAGCGTCCAACTAGCTGACATCTTATCAGCCGCTAATGGTCCAATGCGCTGAACATTCATCTCCTGGAGCCATTCGGAATGAATTTGCTCTGAGTGTCTCTGTCCTCCCCCGTACCTCTCAGGCATCATTTGCCCTATTTTCTCTATTCTGGCTTGTGCACTAGGCTGTTGATTTGGGGATAAAGTACTCACAGAAAGGCCAGGATCTCCTTTCTCTCCTTTCACACCAGCTGGACCATTTTCTCCCTGTTAAAAACACTCAGGTAATTACAGAGGTTCAGCAGATTAGGCAGTAAATGCCTCCAACAGTAAATGCATCCTGAATAGAAAAAGATGCTAAAGAAAGAGGGGGAGGGACCACAAGGTTCAAATACAGTGTTTTCCCGTAAATTTAAGAGACACCAGAAAATAGTTCAGTAAACTGAAATTGCCAGATTCATCCCAATGCAGGAGAGGAGGGGATACATTGGGGGGCTGGTTAAGTCTCCCTGATTCTGTGGACTGATCTGCACTTGCCCCAGCCTCCAAAGAAGCTAGAGCAGCCCAGGGGCTGCTCTAACATATGCCGTTTGCACATGGTCCCTAAGGGACCATAGTCCAAATGAGAATCTGCTTTGCACTGATGGTCCCCTCCCAGCTGCCTGAATGGACCTCCTACCCACGATGTGCCCCCAGCTTTATTCCAGATCTCCTCATGCCAGGTGAATTCTCAGCTACAGACAAATTCTGGCTCTGTGGCATTATCTGAGTGGAGCAAAAGTTCTGGGTTGGGGAGAGAATCTGGCCTCAAAACTGAGCTACTTTACACTCCTGTAATTCAAATGCCAGATAGACGATTGCACCAGCTTTCTGGTGGCATTGTAGTTACAACCCTGGGAACACAACGCCACCACCCTCAAGGGAAACAACAAGCAGGATGGATGATTTCTCTACTCAGTGCAGACAACTGTCCTGCAAAAGTCGCTCTGAGCCATTTCCAACCAAATTTGTTGATTAAAAATTGCTACGGTAAAAAAAAGCCCACACGGCACAGGGCGAATTGTCCGAACGAGAGCCGCGATGGCCATTTTTCTGAATCTGTGACCACCTAACGGGGGCGAAAGCACTGGAACAAATTGCATCAGCCTCAAAGGTTAAACCTGTTAGGGGGCAGAACTGCCATGGCGACTTACTGCCGCAGCAAAACAGTGAGTCAGGGAAGTCGACCCTGCGGCAGAGAAAACCACAGCCAGAAATATGACTCGGTAGCAAAGATCTACAGCTGGCCAAGAAGAGAGTATAAAGAGAGGGTGATTTCAGAATCGATCAGCCTTTGGCCAGTCAGTCCTTGTGCTCTGCCACCCATACCCAATTCCTGGCCAGACTAATAGGCGTGAATGATTTACA